CCGCGATGCTCTCCAGCACCTGCAGGCACTTGTGGGACTTGAGCTCGCCCACGTTCTCCTCCAGGAAGAGCCCGTAGAGGCTCAGGTCGTCGTAGCCGCGCGAGTGGAAGTAGCGGGTGTCCAGGGCGGGCAGCGCGCGCGGTACACGCCCAGGCACGTCGGTGCGCCGCCGCGCGCGGGCACGAGCAGCGTGTAGAGCAGCGCGGGCACCAGCAGCAGGTACACGGCCAGGTTGACCAGGCCGAGCAGCCGGAAGATGCCCGCGGCCACCAGCTTGCACTGCACGCGCGCGGGCACCGCGCTGTCGTTGCGCAGGACGCCGAAGCGCAGGCCGCACACGAACTCGTCGGAGCGCGGCGCCAGGCTGCAGTAGTAGCCCAGGAAGGCGCGGCCAGCGCCACGGTGCCCAGCGTGAGCAGCCGGCAGCCCAGGTACTTGAGCATCAGGCCGCGGGACGCCCGCTTGGTCTTCAGGTATGCTCCACGATGGGCGCCTGCACGTGGCTCTCGGGCGGCTCCCTGGGGGGCGGGGGCGGAGGGTGAGCCCGGGCCGCCCCAGCGGGGACCCCGCCGCCCCGAGGCCCCCGGGGAGGAGGGAGCCCCGCCGCCCCGGGTCGGCGCCGCTCGGGCCGGTCCCGAGAACCGAGAGTTTCCCACCCGGAAGCGGGCCCCCTCCCACGCGTGACTGCGCTCCAGCGCGAGGGAGGCCCCGGCCCCGCCGTGACCCCGCGAGGGTCCCCCCACGTGCGCCTCCCCGGACCCCGAGCGGGCGGCGCGGGCTCACCTCTGGCCCCTGTTCTCAGTCACGCCCGGTGCCAGGCAGGCCGCGTCCTCCTGCGCGCTCTTGGCGGCCTTGATGGCGCGGTTGTAGGCCTTGTCCAGCTCCTCCATGATGAACTTGAGGTCCGCGCAGAGGTGCGGGGCGGCCGAGAAGCGCCAGAAGAGCGAGGGCAGGTACAGCAGGATGGCCACCAGCAGCAGGATGTAGGGGAAGAACTGGGGGGGGCGGCTGGGTGAGGCCACCGCGGCGGGTCCCCGGGGGACCCCCGCCCCACGGGCTGGGCCTGTGCCCGCTGACCCGGCCCTCCCCGGCGGCAGCGAGTCCCCTCTCGTCGGAGGGGGGACAGCGGCACGGCCCGCCACGCCAGGCGCCGGACAGCGGCTGCGGGGCCGCAGGGACACGCGTGACCCGGAGCCCAGGGAATCGCGCCCTCAATCCTGTGGCGGGGGCAATGCGGGCGCTGCGCCCCAGTCCCCCCTCCGAGACGGTCTCCCAGGCGGCCTGGGGAGGGCCGGCTGGTGTCCGCAGGGAGCAGCGCAAAACCCAGCGGCTAAGCCACAGGGGCTCCCGCGGGCGCAGAGCGGGGCCTGACACCGAGGGGAGGCCTGGCCGCTGCCCGGGGCTGCCCACGAGCCTGCACGCCCGGCTCCCGCGCCCCGGACCTGGCGCCGAGCAGGAGCCGGGCCTCAGCGCGCCTCCCGCCGCCGTGCTGTCCGGCGCCTGCTCCCCGGTGTCACCCGCGGGCACCTGCCAGCCCACGCCGGCCCGTGACCGTCCCGCCTCGCCTTTCCTGGCGAGGACTGTGCTCCGTGACCAGCGCGAGCGCACGGCGGCCCCGGGGCGTGCCAGGCTCCGCAGCACCGGCCACGCCGCCCGCGGTGGAGCCCACCAGCCCTCCGGCTGAGGCAGAAGGCAGCGCCCGCGGCCGCACCGCCCTGCGTCCAGCTGGGGAGAAGCCTGCGGCCACCACGCTGGGGTCTCCCGGCCCGCGCCCGCTGGCGGTGCTGTTGTCTCCGCCTGACAGAGGGTGGGGCTTCCGGGCGGAGGACTCCCCGGGGACAAACCGGGGCCTGCCACGGCTTCCCCTCCCGCGTGGTCCACGGAAGGGCACAGGCCGCCCCCCGACGAGAGCACCCTAATAAACCCTAAAGGGCAGAACCCTGCAGAGTCCTGTATGGCCACACACACACAGGGGCTCGGGCGGGGAGGCCAGCGCCCCGGGACTCGCTCCCTCCCTGCAGCGAGACCATCCCGGGAACCCCCTCACACACAGGCCCGCGGGCCCCCCCAGCTGAGGCGGAGCCAAGGCCAGGGCTTGGGGAGCGAAGGGGGGGCCCCAGGGTGGGGCCCAGCTCAGGCTCCGGGGCCGCGGGCGGGGCTGGGAGGGGGCGCTGGTGCCGCCAGAGCAGGACGCGGTGACAGCGGGGTAGGACGCGGCAAGGCCGGGGCAGGGCACATCCCAGATGGGACGGGGTGGCCTCTGCGGGCCAGGGCAGGGTGAGGGTGCGAGGACAGGGGCAACCCGGGCCTGGGCGGGGCCCCCTCCTGTTTGGGGACCGGAAGGACAGCGTGGACCGGACAGAAGAGGAGGCCGGGGCGCGGGCAGAGCGAGAACAGGTGTGCGCGTGCCAAGGAGAGGACGCGGGCCGGGCCTGGCTGTGTGTCCCGCAGGCGCCCCGGGTCACGGCCTGCCCCCTGCCCCGCGTCCTCAGTCAGGGCCGCACGGACGGTGGCACACGAGGGAAGCTGGGGCGCAGAGGGTGAGCTGAGAGCAAGAGGGGGGGTCCTCCCAGGGACGAGCCCAGGAGGGCAACGAGTCCTTCGGGAAGGCCGGGCCCTGTGCCGGCCGTAGGGCGTCCGCAGCGGGAGCAGCCGGCCCGCTCGGAGGGGGCGCTGTCTGCCCCAGGCCATGGCGTGAGGCCCCATCCCAGGACACCCCCCAGACCGCGGCAGATGACCCGGGGCTGACACGCGGGGCGCCCCAGCAGCCCAGGGACGGAGGATGGGCTGTGCCATCCGCTCTGCACCTGAGGGAGGCACCCAAAGGAGGACTGGGTGCCGCGGGCGCTGGGGGTGCAGGAGAGCCGCGCAGGAGAGGCCCCGCCGCAGGAGAGGCCCCTGCTTGCGGCCGAGCCCACTGGGAGGCGATGCTGACCGTGGACAGGCGCCCTCTGCAGCCGCCCGTGGGCCCGGCGCTCCAGCTCGGGGCCGGGAGGTCAGCTCGGGGTCGGCCGGTGGCCTCAGCCGCAGAGGCAGAAAGTGGGCCGGGCCCCGGTCAGCTCGCAGGCCGGGCCGTGCCTCTCACTGTCCGCACCAGCCAGTGACCGCTGGGTCACTGCCCCACAGCCCCGGGCCTGCCCGTCGGACAGCAGCCCAGAGCCGCCGCCGAGGCCTCGGTGTCCGGGACCTGCGGGATGGGAGCCGTGACGTCAGCAAGAGGCCCAGGGAGCCTGCGGCTAGTGGCCACGCTGGAGCCCACATCGGGCAGCAGCTTCGGGCTCTCCCCCCACACGCTCACTGCGCGGGGCCCCCGGGTCGGACACAGGCTGCTGTCCGGGCCCCGCCATGCGACGCGCTGGGCTGCCCCCCGTGTCTCTGCTCAAGGAAACGACAGAGACCGAGACGGTGACGGGGAACGGTCAGAGGGGAGCGGGAGCAGAGGGCCGGGTCAGGGCCGAGCAGGACGCGGGGCCCGGGGAGGAGCCCCTGGAGGAGGCAGAACAGCGGGGCTGATGGACAGGGCGATGTGGAGGAGCTCCCGGCACTGGGACTTCTGGCTGACGAGCCGGGGCGCCGGCGTCACCCGCCGAGTGAGAGGTCGGGGCTGGGCTGGGCGACGTGACCCTCCAAAGTCATTCGAGGTCCCACTGGCCCCCAAGGACACGCCAGCGCCCTGGTCCTCTCCCAGAAGGCGCCGTGTCCCACCCTGACCCCCCACCCCGACATCATGGGGCTTCGCCGACCCTGATGCAGCTGGCCTCAGGCTCCAGCTCCCACGGCCAGCGGGTGGGCGTGGGGTCGGCGCGGCCACTCACCTTGTGCAGCCAGAGGGGGAGGCTTTCCTGCTGGTCGGGCAAGGAGCTCTGCTGATGGACGGCGGCCCAGCAGTAGGAGTCCACGAAGGCGGCCTGGCGCCAGCTGAAGGAGCTGGGCGAGAAGCAGGCGATCTGCGAGCCTGGGAGGGAGAGCACCGCTGAAGACCCTGCGGCCGCGCCCCTGCCCGGCCCCTGCGGACCCACGACGGGGCGGCGGCCGGGGCCGGCCGGGGCTGCTGGGAGAGGCAGCGCAGCCTGGAAGGACACCGTGCGCACCAGGCTGGCCCGGGGGCCGGGTCCACCGGAAGGCGGGCCTTCAGCTGACCTTCAACAGACGCCGGCTCCAGGGCCGGCTGCGGCCGCCCCGAGGGCTGCCGGGCCCTGGGCTCCCCGTGCCGCTTCCCAGACCACCACGGGAGGGGCCGGGACGCAGGGCTGAGGCGGCCCACCCCGCCCGTCCAGAGCCCGAGGGCCCCGGGGTCCGGTGGCATGGACCCGGCTCAGGGGCTCCCGAGGTCAGCTGTGTCTGAACCCGCCACGCACAGCTCGGGGCCTGGGCTCACTTCGCTGCCAAAGCCCCCACGCCGGGAGGACGCACCCCCGGCCGGGCCTCTCCCCCCACCCACAGCAGGGCCGGGCGGCAGGAGCCGCTGGTCTCGCGGCAGGCGCCCTGACAGCACCAGGCTCTAGCACCCAGGAGCCCCGGCCCTCCGGCTGCCCAGAGGGTGTCCACAGGAGGGCCCCACAGCGGGGTGCTGCTGGCCACAGTGCAGAGAGCCACGTCTGCCGGACACGCGTGCCACAGACCAGCCTGGGCCTCCTCCTGTGTGGACTGGGCACCAGTCAGGACAGCAAGGGGACACGGGCGTGTGGCAGAGGCAGCAGGAGTGATACAGACAAAGATGCAGGTGTGCTGAAAGAGGCCGGTGCACCCCGAAAGAAGCCAGTATACCCTAAGTGAGGTCAGAGCACCCCAAGAAACTAGCGTACCCCAAAAGAGGTCAGTGTACCCCGAGAGGAGAGTATACCCAAAAAGAGGCCAGTGTATGCAGAAGAGGCCAGAGCACCAGCAGAGGCCAGTGTACCCAGAAGAGACTAGTGTACCCCAAAAGACTAGTGTACCCCAAAAGAGGTCAGTGTACCCTGAGAGGACAGTATACCCAAAAAGAGGCCAGTGGACCCTGAAAGAGGCCAGTGCACCCTGAAAGGGCCCTGCAGATGAACCAGGCAGGAAAGGGTCAGACCCAGGGGAGCCGGCCACGGAAGTCGAGGTGCTTCACGCACAGGCGCTCTCTACCCTGCACCCCACGCGCAGGCAGAGCCGGCCCCAGCGGGCAGCCGCACTGACCGTCCAGGCCGCTGCCGGCTTCTCAAAGGGAAGCTGTTCCTCGAGTGAAAACCCGTCTCCTGGCCCGACAGACGCGGCTGTGGGGACCTCGCTCCCGGAAGGCGCCGGGAGAGCAGGTGCGTCTCCCCGCTCGCGAGCCCGACCCCTCGAGGTGACCGAGGCGCGAGGCGGCAGGGAGCTGCAGGCGCCGCGGGACGGCCGTGTTGGTGGGTGACGCAGAAGCGCAGACCCTGGACACATCACCTGGACAGTGACACCAAGGCCCCGGACGTGACCCCATTTCTGCGGGACGTGCCCCAAAGCCCCCAGCTCCCCCGCCTCCCCCTGCCGCAAGCCCCAGAATCGGCTGCGCTTTCCTCCGCCTGGACCCGGGGCAGCACGCGGCTTCTCGCCTGCCCTGACCCCTGACCCCGCCGCCCGCAGGGGCTCTGGGGGGCTCTGCCCGGCAGCTTCCGGGTGGGCCTGTCCTCCCAGCAGGGCGGCTGCGGGCCACGAGGCCACACGGCTTCCCCGCGGCGCCAGGCCAGCTCCAGCACCAGGGAGATAAGCGTGTGGGCGCGGCGGCACGCTCAGAGGTCACCCCGCAACGTGGCGGATGGGGCGGCGCGAGCCGATGGGCCAGGATGCTCCCCGGAGGGCCAGGCCAGCCCTCACCCCTGCGGCCCGGCAGGCAGGCGCCCCGCCCCTGCCGTCCCTCCTCCGCCGCTTCCGGCTCAGGCACAGGAGCTGAACCTGCACAGCGCTGACCGCTGCGGGCGGCTGCGGCGGGCCCCTCACGGGCACTCAGCGCGGAGGTGTCCCGGCCAGCGTCACCCCAGTTCCCGGCCCGGGAAGTCCTGAGCCCGGGGGAGACAGGTTTGCCCCCCGCTCCGCCCAGGTCCTCTCCAGCCTTCCTGCCCCGGGTCGCGTGCCCCTCGGTGGGCGATGTGCCCAGCGGTCAAGGGGAGGACCAGCCCCCCTCCTGGCTGCTCCCCTCAGCACACAGCGTGCGCCCGGCCTCTGCCCACACCCCCACCCCCAGCGCCAGCAGCGTCCCTGGCCGGGCAGGCGGGTGCAGCGGCCGGCGGGGCGTGGTCGCGGGGTAACCTCCAGGGACGCGGCTGCCCTCGGGGCCAGGGCACCCCGGGTTTCCTCCCCACCGCGGCCAGCGCCCCCCGGCTGGGAGGCGGAAGGAAGCTGGGAGGCCCGTCCGGACACAAGGAAAAGCGAAAGCTGCTTTTCTCCGAGTTTGGTCACTTCTCCTCACGCTGGATGACTCGGTGCCGGCGGCCTCTCACCCACCAGGCGCCGCGGAGGCCCCGGCCGGCGGGCCCCCACAGCTCTCCCGGGGCGGGCAGGGCAGCTGCAGCCGGCGGCCACCCTCCTCCAGCCGCCCGCTGGCGCCCAGGCCCGAGCGGCTCCCGCCCTCCCCGCAGCCGGGGACCATCAGGGGACCACGTCTCAGGCCTCTGCCCATCGGGTGCTGCCCATCCTCATGCCCACCGCGGCCCCGCCTGCCCGGGTCGCCGCCTCCGCCCGCCGCTCAGCCAGGACAGCCCTGTCTCCACCCGCCCGGGCATGGCAGCACCCTGGCACCGGCTGAGCCCACGCACGGGCTCCCGGCTGAGCCGGCCCCTCCTCTCCCCCTGCCCCCTCCCCGGGGCTCAGACAGTCTGGGGCGGAGATGCCACCAGGTGACCCACCGGCTGCCGCTGGGTGCCCAGTGCCGGCCGCCAGGGGCCCTCCGGGCTGTGCACGCGCAGGGAGGCGGCAGGGGCCGCCCAGCCGGGCGCACGGGTAGCGGGCGGGTGGCCGCGGGGGAGGCCCGGGCCGCGCTGCCGGGGATGCGGGGACTGACGGGCGGGGGCGGGGGATGGACGGGGCGCGGCCGGGTCTGGCAGAGCCGCGGCGGGGCGCGCGCGGGCAGGGGCCTCACCCGTGGAGATCTCCTGCGCGAAGGCCAGCGAGATGAGCAGCAGCGGCAGCCCCACGGCCACGCAGGTGACCATCCTGTCCGCGGCCAGCTCGAGCCGCAGCCCCTTGAGCGCGGGCCCGGCCGGCTCCTTCAGCAGGAAGTCGGAGAACACGTACTCGCCGGCCAGGTGCGCGATGGCCATGGCGGCGCGGGGCGCGGGGCGCGGGGCGCGGGGCGCGGCGAGCCGGGGGGCGCAGCCGTCAGGGCCCGGCCCGTGGGCGTCGCTGCCCCGCGGCCGGCGCGCGGGCGGATCCCCCATCCCGGCCCGGCGGGGCGGCCCCGCGTCCCTCCGCTGCGCCCGCGGCAGCCGGACGCGCGCCCCGCGAGGAGCCCCCGACAAAGCGCCCGCGCGGCCGCGCTCTTCCGGCGGGCTCGGGGGGCGGGAGCTTCCGGGGGGCGCGGCGGGGGCGGGGCGGGGCGGCGCGGAGGGGCGCGGCGGGCGGGGCGGGGGCGGGAGGGGCGCGGCGGGTGGGCGGGGCAGCCACACCCGGGCCCGCCCCGCCGGGGGTCCCGCCCGCCTCCAGGCCCGACGCCCCGGGCGCCCCGGCCGGCGCCGCCGCGGGCGGGAGCAGATCGGGGCGCACGCGCCCCCCCCCCCCCCCCCCCGGCCCGGCGCCCCAAGCGCGGAGCCGCCCCGGGGCCCGGCCGGGCGGGATCGGGGCCCGCAGCCGGGAGCGCGCGCCGAGCCGGCGGCCCGAGCGGTTCCGTCCGCACCCGCGAGCTCGGGAGACGCGCCCGGGGAAGCCGGGGCCGCCGGGGCCGAACCCAGTTTCCGAACCGAGCCCGGGCGCAGCGGCGCGCGGCGGGGGCGCACCCCGGGCTCGCGTCCCCTCCCGCCCCAGAGCCGCGGCCGGTCCCGGGGGCGCCGGGGGGACCGTCCAGGAGAACGACATGACCGCGCCGCCCGGCCCTTCTCCCCCGGAAGCCGCGCAGCCGGGCCGGGCGGATGGGGGTCTCCGGGGGGCTGTTCTGCGTCCCTGCGGGGAGAGGACAGGGCTGGTGGCCCCGGGGCAGCTGCGGGGGCGCAGGGGAGGCGCGCGGTCAGGACGGGAGGCCGGGCCACCCCGGAGCAGCGCAGGGGCCTGGCACGAGCCGCTGCTTTGGCAGGAGCAGGTGGGGCTGGGGCAGGACAGTGGACTGAGGACTCTGGAAGGGGCGAGGGGCACAGGCCCGGGGGACGGTGCTCTATGCTCCGCAGGCAGAGGCTGGTGGAGGGCGCCGGGTGAGGGCCGGGCTGCTGGCGGCCTGCTCTGTCCACGGGGGAGCCAGGCCAGCAGCATGAAGCTGGGGAGCGAGACCTCGGACAGCCAGAGGACCAGGGCCAGGCGGAGGGCCAGGCTGGCCTTCGGGGGACGGGGCCCCTTCTTCCACAGCCCAGGAGTGTGTAAGTGCCGGTTTCCTCGGAGGAGGAGGCTGAGCTCGGAGTGGAGGCAGCACTGGAGGCGAGTCCCCTGTGGACACACTGTGTGGCCTTGTTTCACCCCGTCCCCCTGCAGTGCTAACCCGGGCTGTTCCCCCAGACGCCCAGGGCAGCTCCCCTTTAACCAGTGCCCCTCCTTGTAGGTAATTTTGACTGGAAAAGAACCATGCAGGGGCCTCCCTGGGGGCGCAAGGGGTTAAGCACCGCACTATGAAGCAACCCACAGCCTCTGCAGCACGAGTTCCATCCCCGGCCGGCCAGGGAGCAGCCCACGTGGCGCAGCAGACCCCTCCTGTCTCCCCGCTGCCCCCCTCATCAGTGTGTTTCAGTCAGCCTGCCTGCTCTGCTCCCCACGCTGTCTCTGGGGAGTCCTCTCACCCCCGCATCTCTCGCCTGTCCCCCTGCTCTTGTGTGCATGAATAAATAAATCTTTTTTTAAAAAAGAGCTGTGCAGGTAACCACCTCATAATATGTGAAACTTTATTAAAAACAGAAGTGGTTCAGCTAAACTACTGCGTGGTTTTCATTAAAAAATAAACTAAGAGAAAAGGAAGAACACGCCTAGGTAATTTGTTCTCTGAGTGAGTTATAAATAAGGCACTTATCATTAACAGGACATTAAACCACCTACGCAGGGAAGAAAACCACAAAATCACATTATCAGTGGCTCGCGGGCTGGAGCGCAGCTTGCTGGGTCCCCGCGACGTGACGTCCAGACAAGGACGGAGTAGAGGCGTCCCCTCCCCGTTAGGTCTACGGCTGCCAGCACAGTCCCCGCACCCACCCCGGCCACGAGAGAAAGCATGAAGGGCCCTCCACCAGAGTATCCCCCAGTCCCACGTCCGTGCGCCACGGACCCCACGGGGCGAGGCAGGCGTGGCCGCCGCTCAGCCGGGGCTGGGCTCCCGGGTCCGCCTGGCCTGGGGCGGCGTCTTGGTCTAGCCACGAACAATGTTGCTTTTATCAGCTCGCGCAGGGCAGGTGTCAGGCCTGGGGCGCCTGCTGCCTCTGCTCGGCTGAGGTTGGCTGTTCCCTATTTTGTTTTTGCGTCTGAGCCTTGAAAGCTGGTTGACAGATTTGCCACCGGGACTCCTTCCAGCCGCTCCATCCTTCCTCGCCCCCGCGAGGGGCCCGTCCTGAGAAGATGCGACATGGAGGAGCCTGTCCAGGCCCTTCTCCCGGCCGTTCTCGGGGTTCTCACGTGACGAGGCGTCTCGTTTCCTCGGTGGTGGACACTTGGAAACGTCCTCCGAAGGGATGGAACGGTGCCTTCAGGCCAAGCCGGGAGGGGGCTGCAGCCCCCCCCCACCTCCCTCCCCCCCAGGCCACGCCCCGCCTGCCTCGCCGCCCCCTCCCTACGCTGGCACGGAGCGGGGTTCCTGGCTGATCTGTGAAAACACGAACGTGGCCACAAGACGTGGCAGGAACGCACATGCAGTGAGGTGTAGCGAGTCAGGCGTCGCAGGAGGTCTGCGTGGAAGCAGCAGCATCAGAGAGCGTGGGTGTGGGTGTGGCTTGGCCGCGGCAGCCAGCAGCGCGCAGGCTCGACGCGGCCCGCCCGGAGGGCTCAGCCTGGCCCTCAGCAGATTCCGACCTGGACGTTTTCACAAAATCTTCCGGAAGTTCTTTCCCCCGTTGCAGCTGGGCCAAGGCCTTCGGGGCGGTCCTGCGCCCCACCCTGGGGCGTGGAGGGCCACTGATGGCCGGCTGGGCGCCGCCGCCTCATCCGAGGGTCATGACAGCCCCACAAAGCACCTTGGGGCGCCCGCAGCAAAGGCGCTCAGAGAGCACCCTGAATCCAGCTCGCGGCCTCGCGCCTGCTCCCGTCCTGCATTCTGCCTTCAGGATCATTCACAGCCCGATTAGAAATAAATAAATAAAAGCACATTGCTCCGTGTCCCCGAGGATCCGGGCCTGGCTCCGGGCGGCGCGGCCTCCCCGTGCCCCTGCCGGCCGCCCCCGCAGCGCCGCTCACAGCACGTCCGTGGGGAGCTCGCGGGTCCGCACCTGCCGGTACTGCACCTGCTGGTACCGGCCCTGCCGCCCGGCGGAGCGCAGCTTGAGCGCCAGCACCACGGCGGCCGCCAGCAGCAGGAGGCCCACGGCGAAGAGGGTGACCAGGGCGCTCTTGGCTCCTCGGGGGCCCAGCTTCCTGCCGAAGAAATAGAGCTGCTCCCGGCTGCCTTCTTCTGTGGGGGAGAAGCCAGGAGTCAGGGGTGCCGGCCGGGGGACAGGGAGTGGGGGTGCAGGGGGCGTTACTGTTGGCTGGGAGTGGGGGTGCAGGGGGCGTTACCGTTGGCTGAGCCTGAGTCTGGGGGCGGCGGTCCTCCCGCAGGGGACTTGGTGGAGTACGGGGTCCTGTTGTCTGCACGGAGAAGACAAGGGGGCATGGAGTAAACGACAGAAGCAGATTCTTCTCCTGACTGAGGGAGAGTCAGGCGTCCCTTGGCCATTAGCAAAAAGCCAAGAGAGTCCGTGCGGGTGAGGGCGGGGAGACAGGCCCTCGTGCCCGGGGACAGCGTGGAAACGCGGGTCCGTGGACGGGACCACAGCTGCCACGCGGCCAGGTCTCTACCGAGGCCACGAAACTGACTCAGTAAGACCCCCCCCAGTGCCCCCTGCGCCCCCCACGGCAGGAGCCGCAGCAGCTGGGCGTGGAGAAGCTGCCGGGGCAGCTGGAGGGGCCGGGACACAACTCGGCCAGAAAGCAGACGAAATCCTGCGCGATCTGACGACGCGGGTGAACGGCAGGGCACGTGCTCGGGCAACGACTCACATTACCCCGATAAGTAGAAAACCAGTTCTGTCTTCCACTAAGGAGACCTCGCCAGTGCTGGGGAGATGCGGGTCCTGTCCCGCCACCTCCCCCAGGACCCCCACGCCGGCCCCTGGCTCTCAGCTGCTGCTCCCGTCCCCACCCTCGAGGCCTCAAGGCCCCGGTCGCCCTCAGGGCCCCACCACAGGGCCCCGCCCTCTGCCGACCCCAGCCCGCACCCCTCCCGCAGGCCCGGCGCTGGCGCCATGGGCGCGCGGGCCATACCGATGTTGCGCAGCACGGTGTAGGTGGTCTCCATGCCCGCGTGGATGTGGTCGGACACGTGGCAGTGCAGCAGCCACGTGCCTGGGTGGTCCGCAAACAGCTCGATGGTCTGGAACGTCCCGGGGAAGAGGTCGTACACGTCTTCCCGGTAAGACTTATCTATCTGGAGAGGAACGGGGAAAGCAGGGGACAGAGATCAGGAAAATTCGGAACGGAAACAGCAGAGCCGGCTCAAGGAAACCAGAGCTGGTCCCTGGCAGAGACGGACAGCACCGCTGGCCCAGCAGTGCCCTCTGTGTGCGGCTGTGCCGTGCGGCCCACAGCCTCCAGGGCCGGGGGTGACAGACCGAGGCTCCCGTCTCGCTCCGGGGGTCACTCTGCGGGCAGCCCCAGGCCGAGCGGTCCTGAAGCCCGCGGTCTAGCAACAACCCCTGATGGGGCTTGGGGTGGATCCTCCGGCCCCGATGAACCCGTGACGGCAGCCTCGGGAGAGACCCCGAATCACCCCCGGCAGTGTGTGCCACTCGAGACCGCCGAGGCCCACAGTCCCTGGCGAAGCAGCAGCAGTCGTGGCACCGCCCTGCTCAGTCCCACATTTTAATACAGGTTTTAAATGTGGGCTGGAAAAGCCGAGCCCCGACGGCTGGTGTCGCCTCTGGGTGCCGCGCAGGGCGCGGGGGCAGTGGACAGGTGGGGGTCTCCTGCGGGCGACCGTTTCTTCCCGCGTAAGGAAAGGACTTCCCTTGGGTCGGCGCCCTCGGTGGCAGCACTGGGCACGTGCCGACGGGCTGGACCTTACCCCGAGGCGCTGAGACAGCTCAGCCTGGGGCGGGAGCCACGCCCGGCCCGGCCCAGCTCGCGGGGGCAGAAGCCGAGCTGGGCTTCGGGCCAAGCCGACCTGAGTGTCCTCTCACCGGCCGGGTCCCTGAGCTGGCGGCCTCGCAGGAAAGGCGGCAACACAGGAGAGGGACGGGGCGGGCACGGGACATTTGCCGGGAGCTTTCACCGCCTGAGGACGCAGGGCCCAGCGCGGCCCGGCCGTCCCACAGCGGACGGGGAGCACTCGGGCCTCTGAGGCCTGCACAAGCACCCCGGGGCGCCCACTGCGAAGAGATCCCCGGGGTCCCCTCCCGCTGTTCTGCGTACCCCGCCCCTCCCTCCGCCTCGGGGCCGGGGCCAGGCCTCCCCAGCGCCGCCCGCCCACCTTGAAGAGGAAGCTCTCGGCGTGGTAGTGGATGGTGTGGATGTCCACCTCGCTGCCCAGCCCCAGCAGGTACCAGTTCGTCATGGAGTCCTCGCTCATGATGAGGCCGTGCAGGTTCCCGAAGATCTTTCCGTTGATGGCTGAGGAGGTGAGGAGACAGGAGCCGGGGTGAGGCGCCGCGGCAGCCGGGCAGAGGCGGCTGGCGGGGGGGGGCTGGGGCCAGCGGCATTTCCGGCGGGGCCGACGCCTGATGAACGTTTCCCAGCGTCCCGGCGCCTCGGAGCAAGCGCTAAGTGGCAGGTGCGGGGCCTCTTAAAGTCCTCACACCAGGAGCGTCCAGCTCAGGCTGCTCCTCTTCCGAGGCCACACCGGGGTGGACGGGGGCACGTCCGGCGCGGTCACAGGCTCACGGGGCCCGACGCGCCACGCCTAGGCACGCGGTCATGTCACAGGTTGAGTGAGGTGGCAGCGACCCCCTCCCTGCGTGTCTTCTGGGACGCGTCTGGGGCACGGGCCAGGCCTGGCTCAGGCTCCAGAGTGGGGAGCATCCGGGGGCTGGGCCAGGCCCCCAGAGACCGCAGCCCAGTCGGGTGCGGCCGGTCCCTGACCGGTCCCTCCCTGCATTGGACACAGCCACGCAGCCGCATTCATGAGGCACAGAGCACGGCCAGAGGCTCTGCGGGAGGAGCAGCCGCGCCAGAAACCAGGCCGCGGATGAGGCTATGGCCATGTTACCCTGACCCGTTGGGGCCTTTTTGTGCTTGTGGGGCCACAGCAGAGCTTGGGATGTGTCCGGCGGAGCTCGTCGCTCCTGCTCAAAGCAAGAACCTTCCTGAGGTGCCACTGGGCTCAGCCACGTGGACACGGGGGAGCATGTTGGCAGAGGGAGCTGCGACCTCCCAGGCAGACAAGCAGGCCCTTGCCCGGAGCGCCGGACGTCACGGTGTCACCGGCCAGGGGCCCGCGCTGGCCAGGGGCCCGCATTCGGGTGGTGGCCCTGGGGATGCAGCCTGAGGCTGGGAGTGGCCGGGGTGGGGCGAGGGGTCCGTGTGCCCCTGCTCACCGCGCAGACCTGCCCCGCAGCCGCTCCCAGAGGGCCCCCGAGACCTCGCGAGCCCCGCCCCGCCCGCGTACCGTGCATCTTGTTGCTCTCCTCAAAGTCGTCCGAGCGCTTGAAGTCCCGGGGGTCCTTGTTGAGGTACTTCTTGATGTTGTCGTCCAGGTACCAGGACTCGTTCTCGTTGAAGACCAGAAACAGGAGCACAAACTCGTAGTCCACGTCGCTCCTTCGCCCCTTCTCGTCCAGCACCCCTTCTCTGCACGTGATCAGGGGCCCCATCAGGCCGCTGTACATGTCCTGGGGGAGCAGAGCAGACGGGGCAGCCCTGAGGGTGTGCGAGGCTGCTGGAGGCGGGGACGGGAGCACCGCCCAGCCCTGCGGCCGGGGGGCTCGGGGCCAACATGGGACCGATCTTCGCCTTTCGTCGCCAGGACGGCGGCTGCCAGGCCGCAGCTGTGCGCCAGCCGCTCGGCTTGGCCTTCCGGGCCCGGACGGCAGCGGAGACAACTTTACAAGGGATGGGTTTCAGACACCCCCAAATGGCGTGACACGTAAGAACGTTCTCCCGGCTGGTTACCTCTGCACAGCTCCTCTGCAGTCCAGCCGTGCGGCTCTAGGTGTGGCAACTGAAGCTTTGGGGTTGGCTCGGTGCCCTCGCCCCCGGCCCACACTTGAGAGCGAGGGCCAGCACATGCTTAGCGCGGGCAGCGACCGTGCCCGCCACGCCGGCCCGGGACGCAGAAGGCAGGGCCAGAGCAAGGCCCGCTCCCACCCACGCCCTCCGCATGCGCCGCCAGCCGTGGCCGAGGCCCCCAGCCCCCCTCTCACCTTCACAAAGTCGACCGTCGAGTAGTAAACCCACGGGATGCAGTTGGGGTCAGAGGGCCCGGGGCCGGAGCGCTTCGGGACGTTCCAGCGGTACGTTTTTATCTCCCCTGGAACAGAGGGGGAGTGGGCGGCGCTCGCGGAGAAGCCCGCAGGCCCGGGCAGGTCTGTCGTGCGGTTGCCGGGGCAGAGGCGCCCCCAGCGGCTCTCGCCCCACGTGCCAGCTCCGCCCGTGTCACCAGCTGACGTTCGTCCAGGACACGCAGGCCGTGGGGGCCACGCTCCCTGCACACGCGCCGCCTCGCGCCGCCCCGGCCCTGGAGGCGCCCCTCGGCCTCGGCGCCCTGGTCAGCCCGGCCTCCCCGCCAGTGGCTCCCCATCCACCATCCAGCCAGGCTTCTCGGCCCTTGGTAAGCCCCGCGCACTCCGAGGCGTCTCATCACGCACACCCTGGGGACGGGACGGGGTTCACTGCTCCCCTCCAAACACACGCAGGAGAAACGTGGGGCGGAGCTGGATGCTGGAGGCAGACAGGACCCCCCTAGGGATCGGACCCGCCGGGCCCCTGCCCCCTGGCCCGGGTCACCTGTCCCAAGGACATAAGGGCCACTGCCCTTCCGCACAGGGCGCCGGCGTTCATGCAGCTGCACCCAGCGAGCACCACGAGCCTGGGCAGGTGACAGTCCTGAGCCACACCCCCCCGCGGGTGACCCGAGACGGCCGTAGCCGCTCCGTCTCCAGCCATGGAAAGAGGACGGACGTCTCCCCACCTTCGGGCCGGCGCACTGCGCCCGGCTAGTCTGGCCATTGCAGCTTCCTGCCCCTGCGGCAAACGCCGGCACCTCCTGACTCTGCAAGACACGACTCCCGGGGCTGGGTCTCCGTCTGCCCCGAGCCCGCCTGGCCGCAGCCGTCACTAACAGCCTGTCCTTACTCTCCTACCGCCCCCTCAGGCCCCGCTTGCCTCGGCTGGTCCGCGGCAGCGACGGGACGGTGGTGACGGCCCGAGGTGTTAGACTACGCTGGCATCCGTCTCGCGGCTGACTTGAAGGACAGACGGGTCTTAAAAAACACACGAAGCGCGGCCCTGCGCCAGGTCAGCTACTACGACCTCCTACCGTCACAGGTCCCCACCGGAGCCTGGACGCTGCGTAAACACGGTCATCGTGAGTGACCGTCTACCTCGTCTGGGAGTGAGCAGCCACTGGCTGGCGCTTGGCGCTGTGGGGTGAGTGTCCAGGATCCGGGGATGGCCCAGACCAGCAGGGAGCGCGCCAGCGGGGCTTACCCGGCTTTGTGGCGGGCACTTGGAGACGCTGGCCGCCGTCCACATCCTCCACACCCTGGGCTGCGATGGAGTAGGGCCGCTGGGCTTTGTTCTTGAATATGACCAGGATGGAGTCGCCCACCTCGGCGTGGATCATCGGGCCTGAGGGCGAAACACGGGCCTGGTCGCCGCTGCTCTCCTCAGCACCCACAGACGCCGCAGGAGCGCAGGCGCGCTTGGCAAAGAGCAGAGGCTGCCCCCAGGTGTGCGTCCCCAGAGGCGCAGCGTCCATGGAGGGCTTGGCACCAGGCGAGCCTAGTTCGAGTCCAGCCTCCCTGGGTGGGTGGGCCCAACTCAGCCCTCTCCCGGGGAATGCGGTCACGCTGCCTGCTCGCAGCTGGAGCGAGGGGCAGCCAGAGTCAGCGCAGGGGCACGGCAGGGGCACGGCAGGGCTCAGGAAGCCCACGCTCTGCTCTGCGGGTCCCCCAGGGAAAGTCACACCCACGCACTCTGGTGGGAACAGCCACCGGGCAGCCTTTTGTCCACACGGTCACCATCTGCTCCGGGGTCCAGGAGTCAGTGACACGGCGAGCCTGGCAGGCGCTGGAGGGACACGGGCAGAGGCAGAGCCACGTGCCCAGCAGCGCAGACTCAGTGGCTCAGACACATGCTCCGTGCATGCTGGGGCGCTGGTGGGAGGTGGGGTGCAGCTGCCTGCCTGGCGTTTCTGTGAGAAGTCCCAGGCTTCTGGGGAATCTGTGCCCCACGATGGTGGGTGCCCCTTGCACACGCAGGCACCCCTTGGTGCCAACTGCGCACCCGCAGCCTTTGCCATGCACACCTCACAACGGGCGTGGCCCCGTGGGAGCCCCGTGGTGCAGCCCTGACCCTGGCCCTGCGGGTCCTGGCTCGTGGGAGTTGCACCCCCGGGGGCCGCACCCACCCTTCAGGGTCCCCACCAGGCTGGGGAGAGCCAGAGAGATTTTAAATTCCAGGGCCCACTGCAGGAGAGGCGCGTCCTGGCATGTTGAAGCAAGAAAAGGGGGTGTAGCCAGGCGGGGGCAGGCAGCCTGTGCCCTGTCCTGTAGGAGCTGCGTCCCGTCCTACAGCCCCCGGGGACAGGGCCTCCCTGTGGGGGCTGGTGGCCACTCTTCCTGCCCAGATGCAGAGCCGCTGGGCTCAGCTGAGGCAAAGGTGACCCATGGCGACATCTTACTGGGGCCCAGCCCTGGTGGGGAGCTCAGGGCCTGCGTGTGCCCCGCGTGCCCGTGTGCCCATGTACCCGCCAAGCCGCCTACCCAGGAGCTCCAGGTGCTGCTCCCGCGGCGGCCGGGCCTTGATCTCCACGAACTCGCCGTCGGTGTACTCCCGGTAAACCACCTTCTTGTACTGGGAGCCGATCCAGTTCTCAGTGTGGTTCATGAATATGTCTCCGTGTCTGCCAGGCACAAGCCCCAGAAATTAAAGTTGTCGGAGGCGGGGTGCCTGGTGCTTCTGCAAGAGTCGGGGGCCCCGGAGCAGGCGCCCAGGCCACCGCATTGGGCCTGGCGCTGGGGACCTGCTGCAGCAGTGCCGGGGGCCTGTCCGGGCGGGCGGTGGGGGCTGGGGGCCCGCAGAAGGTGCCTCTCCTGGCTGACCTCACTCTGGCACACGCACACGCACACGCCCCAGCCCCAGCCCCTCCCCCGCGCCTGCTCCGTGTCACGCCTCCCACCCTGCAGATCCCGAGAGCCTGGGCCGTGGCCTGCATGCACATCGGGGACAGGACAGATGCGGCTGACCTGTGGGTCCAGCAGGCTGCCGGGCCCAGCCCTCTGCTCCGGGGGCAGGCCAGGCCTCTGGGCCCCAGGCTCCTATTCCTCAGCAGATCCGCACAGAACCCGGCTCCACGTGTTTCTGTTCAGGACGTTTTACTTGACATAACGCTGAGGGGCTGACTGCCCTCCGGCCAGCGCTGTCCCCACAGCCTCCAGGCCCCAGCCCAGCCCCCCCACCCTGGACACTTCATGCTCCACGGGGGCCCTTCGCCCCCCCACCCACTCCACGCGCAGCCGCGAAACGGGCAGGTGGCACTCGTGGTCCATGAACAGGCTCTGCCCCCGAGCCCGAGGGCGGGCTGTGCTGGCCGCTGGGGCGTGTGTGTCAGTGCCGCAGACTGCCTGCTGCCTAACGCAGGGGTGCAGACGGCCCCAAAGCACCCCGAGACTGGATCTGGGGTGACCAGCAGCGGCAGGAGTGGGCAGTCCCCAGACACTCATCACACAGAAGCAAACTGCTGGCTGCGTCCCCAAGGCCCGGCGTGAGCACCGACCCACCCGCCCCTCCTGCGACCCTGCACACCCCCGCGCCCTGCAGCACCTACCTGTAGCGGGGCCTCCCTGCCTGCTCCACCCTGCCTGCTGGCCCCTATTCTGGACCCTGCAGGTGCCATGACTGTCCACCCTGGCAGGTTGTCCTCATGGGGACCCTTTCACGGCGTCCCAGGGCCAGGCTGCACTCTCTGCCCGTCCCGCCCACTCAGCTGCTGGGTGATACCACGGCCACCCCTCCTGCCCTCCGCCTGCTGCTCTCCTGTCCAGCCCAGCCCGGAGCCCGGACACGTGGACGCCCCCTTCACTCGCTGCCACGCTGTGGGCAGCTGCAAGCTCAGTGGCCACCCACGCAGGCCCACGTGCCTCCACCTGCTCTTGGGGGAAGCCCTGGGGACCCGTGGGCGCTTCCCTCCAGCCGGTGTGGGGGCTTCAGGCGGAAGCTGCTCTGGGCTTCGGGGACAGCGAAGCCAGGCCCGACACCCCCAGGGAGGTGGCTGGGACAGGCCCCCACGGTCACTTCCTCGGTGACGGCACCATCCAGTGAAATGAGCATCGCGAAAAAGGCCGCACGTCACCGCACGTTTCCTCCCATGGCTCGCACCACCCTCTGCGGGTGCGGCTCAGGCTTTGGGCGAGGGGCGCTGGCGGGTGAGGAGGTGAGAGACCACAGAGGGCCCTGAGTCCCCCAGGCCGCGGGGCTCTGCGCGGCAGGCCAGCCGGCTCTGTGTCCACCACGAGGTGGCGGGGCGACAGCGCGTGTCCAGGGCCCGCCCTCTGAACAGGCCACACTGGGACAGGGCAGAGAGTCCGGATCAGCACAGGCTGCACAGACAGATGAGCGAGTGAGGTGCGGGGCGGGTGATGAAGGAGGATGAGGGACGTGTGGGGCGGACGGGAGCCCCAGGAACGGCTCAGTGCCCAGCCAGCCCCTCGCGGGATGCCCCAGGGCGTGGGCGGTGGCCCCGGGCAGCTGTGTGTGGGGGCTGAGCTTGGAGGGGCCTGCTGGTCTGCCTGGGCAGGCGATGCTCTGCTGGAGCAGCCGAGGCAGCCCTGGGGGCCAGGCCCGGGTCTGGCCCGGGGAGTGGAGCAGTCACAGCCAGGGCTGGTCACCCAGTGGGGCAGCGGCTGGTGCTGGGCGGGAGGTCAGCCCCGAGCAGGCCTGGTCCCGCCTGGCAGAGAGGCCTGTGCATCTGCTCCTGCGGCGGCCCCAGGCGGCAGCCCGAACTCCGACCCCACCACACCTGGCTTCCCTGGAGCCCCCAAGGCCCCGGCCCCGCCCGCCCCCGGGAGGCCTGCTCCCTGGTCCTCCGGGCCCCAGGGCCGTGTGTCTGCAGAGCAGGACTCCAGGGCGTCTGGGGCCTGCCGAACCCCGCTTGGCGCGCAAACGACCCCCCCCCCAGAGCCAAGGAGGCGAGGCCGCGGTACCTTTCCCCTCCTGCGTCCAAGTGCTGCTTTTCGAACTCCCAGTTTTTGTTAGGGGCATAATCCCATTCTACCTCCTCCACGGCGATGTAAAAGGTTCTTATCATCCCGTACGGCTGCTCGGGGGGGTCCTTGTTGCCGCAGCTGGTGACCTCGTAGAGCTGGTTCATGCCTCGCGCGAAGTGGTGCAAGGTGGAGCAGAACACCCTGAAGAGGCCTGCAAGAGAGACCGTCGCTGCCGCCGCCCGCCGGCCCGCGCCCGACCCCAGGCAGGTGCCAGGGAGGTGGGCCGGCGGGGAGATGCCACCTCGTGTTTCAAAGTCACACCCCACGGGGGGCCCTTCGCTTGGAGTATATTCCCTTGTGGAAAACAACAGCCTGAGATTCATTTGAAATGAAAAATTAAAACTGGCAGGCTCGCCGCCAAGAAACGCCCTCTCTGCGAGTTCCCTGCCGAACGCGTCGGCCAGCAAAGCTCGGCCCCGGAAGTCGCCGGCGGGGGGCTGGCCGGGAGGCTGGGGGGGCTATCTCAGCCCAGCCCAACTGAAAAAGAACCAATTCCCTGGAAGAGTCATCGCCCCGACAAAGTTCAAATTGGGCCACTCGTACGCAGTCGTGCATTTCGCCCTGAAGGAGTCGTGAACTGGACGGAGCAGCGCGCACAGGCACGGCCACCCGGAGCCGACGGCGACCTCGCCCGGGAGCCGAGGAGGCTCTCGCCACCCACGGCAGGTCAACAGGCGCCCGGCGGAAAGGAAAGTAAACCGACGTGCCCTCACGGCGACGGGCACAGCCGAGAGAGAGTCGGGCCATTTTAAGGAGAAACTCTCTGGGAAGCGGGCGCAGGCAGGTGGGTCTTCGCTGGCTCAGGGAGACACGAGGTGGCGGGGACGGGGGCGGTGGGTCGGGCGTCCGCGCGGGCTCAGTCTCCAGAGCTGCCCCGGCAGAGGCGGCCCCCACCAGCCACCCGCGGCTCCGCCAGCTGCCCCTGAAGGGCCCGTGGCGCCCAGGACCCGGCTGTCGCGGCCACGCAGGGAGGGGTCTCGGGAACCGGGAGGAGCTCTCTGGAGACAGCGTGGAAGGCTCCCCACGGCCCCTCCTGGGCCAGGCCTCCCGCGCTTCAGCAGTGGAGGGGCCGCCTCCTGGAGGACCAGGGGGTGTGGGGCCTTGACAGCGGCGACGCCTGCACGGAAGCACCTGCACCCCAAGCTCGTGCACCTGCACAAAGGCTCCGCGTCCCTCAGAGCCTGGCTTTGCAGCAGAGAGAACATGTGTCTTGGTGCTGAGCCTGCCGGGCCCGTGTTCCAGCTCACGGCAGGCTGGCGGGCTGCGGCAGCGTCAGGGACACATGAGCTCCGGGCCTCCCGTGGCCGCGCCACACTCACCTGCGCGGTCCGGCTGCATGAAGGCCGTGGTGGAGACGTGCGGGAACAGGGCCAGGCTGTCGCGGTGGGTGCCCCGGAGATGCAGGGTGTTCCCTTGGAAGTAGACCCCGTGCATGTCGGTGTCGGTGCCCATCCCCACCAGGTGCCAGGACACCCTGTCATTCCTGCACATCTGGAGGCCAGGCTGGTTGCCGTACATGTAGCCGTTGACGGCTGCAGGGAGGAGAGAGACGGTCAGGCCCAAGCATCACGGGGGCACGCAAGGGACGCGTGCAGGGCAGGGGCCGGGGACAGGCCTGTGGGGAGCCCTGTCCTCAGAGGCCAGGTTGCCCTGGGAGCCTCTCAGCGGCCACTTATAACGGAGGCGCCGCTCATAGGAGCACTGAACATGCACCACTGCGCCATGTCCAAGCCACCTGCTCAGGCTGCTGGCTCGGCTTGAGCAAGGCGCCCGGTCTCTGACGAGATGGCTTGACGGCGCGGGACGGCCCCCCTGCCCTTGTGCACTGCTGCTGCCCGGGCTCCCCAGAGCACTCCCAGCACCCCGCACAGCTGTCCCCCTCGAGGGTCTCTCCTGCCAGCTCCCCAGCTGCGGGGCTCGATCTCGTGGCCAGCGAGTCTGCGGGTGGCTCTGGGTCGGGTGCAGAGGCCGGCAGGTGACCACGGAGCGGCTGCTGTCTGCTGGGGCGGGGGGCGGGGTGTTTACAAGAGGCTTTCCAGGAGATGGCTCTGCCCTGCGATGACGCTTATCTGCCCGTCCTGATAAAGCGACCGGAGGGGCTCTGGATAGTGACTCTACGGGAGGCCTTGGTCTCCAGAAACGCCTTCGCCGCAGTCCGCTGACCGACAGGGGCGCCTGGGGCTGACCTTGAGGGCGGCCCCCACAGGTGCCGTCTGCAGGGCCCTCAGCAGGGACGGGCCCCCACCCGATGCCGAGCGTGGAGAGGACGGCGCAGGGTGTGGACCCGCCAGCACCCAGGCCAGCACGGTGCCTTCCCGCTGTGTCGGGAGCCAGCGGTGCTGGGGTCTTGCTTGAGCATCAAGCTGCCTGCTGGAGCGTCCAGGAGACCCTGGGACGTTAGACAAGAGCGGCCTATTTTCTGAAAACCCTTTGCTCAGGCTTTGGTCAGTGCACGACCTGAGGCTTGTCCACTGACCGCAGACGCGACCCGACGCTCTGCGATGGGGGCTCGAGTCGGGCACTGGGCCGGGCTCTGGGCTGCCTGTGTGGGCCTGGGGCTTGCTGGGGGAGGACAGCGCTTGGGGGCGCGTGTGCCACCCCCGTGTCTTCAAGGCCATGCCCATGGGATGCTCCGTCCTGGACCCGCCGCCCAGCGATGGTCTCCAGCTCACCGGCCGCTCCTGGGCTGGTCTATGCGCCCTGCGGGGTTGGACCCCCGGGCTCTGGCAGGGCAGGAGACCCCCGCGTGGGCTGTGGCGCCGCGTGGAGCCGAGGGGCAAGGGTGCCGCGCTTCAGCCCCGGTTAGCCCCAGCAGCCGCCCACACTGCCTGCGGCGGCCCGCACAGCCCGCAGTCGTCAGGCGACCCCGAGGGGTGTTTGTCGTCACTGTCTAACCCGCCCTGTGCCGTGACCGCCTCCGGGCTGGCCCCACGTCCATCTAGGGCTGGCCCCACGGCACAGCATCGCTGGGACACGAGGAGGTTTCACCAGACCTTGAGCGTCTTACAGCCAAGAACAAATCCCAAGCGGCCAGCCCTGGGGCGGTGGAGACCCCGCGCCCGCCGCCCTGGCGCCACGTCGGACGTGGGCTTCCTACCGTGCATGCGGTTGGACTTCACGAAGGCCTTGTCCTCCTTGTCGACACTGAGGGGGCGCCGGGTGAACTTCTGGATGTTCTCATCGAGGTACTGGCTCAGGTTCTCATCGAAGACTGTGAAGAGCAGGTGGAACTCCTTGTCTATCTCCTTCTGGAGAGCGGAGAGGGAGGATGCCTCAGAGCACAGCCGGGGGGTTCTGAGTCCTGCTCCGCTTTCAAAGGGGACTCGGGCTAGCGCAGGAGCCTTGCGGGGTCCGAGCACGATGCGGTCGGCGTGACCCGCACCGACGCGTGTCCCCGCCCACCCGCGTGTGGATGTGCACGGCAGGGCTGGCTGGTCACTCAGTGGGGCCAGGGAGGGCCCCACTTTAATGCTGGAGAGACACCCAGAGACGTCGGGCCTGTCAGTGGGCACAGCCACCCAGGCAGGGCCCCGGGAGCCCCCTGTTCTCCTTCCAGGACGACCCACGGCTGCTGCTAACGCCTGAGCCCAGGAAAGACAGCGCCAGGAAACCTTAGCTGCCCTGTCGCACCCACTCGAAGGGACCTTGGGGTTTGCTGCAGGCGGCCAGGGTCGCGGCCAGCCAAGCACCGCTCACAGCCAGCCCCCTCGGGACTCGGGACGGGCACGGCGGCCAGAAACACGGGGCTGTGCTGAGAGGGGCTCTCGCTGGCCAGACAGAAAGTTATCTTCAATGCAAGAAATACTCTGAAATTCGCATGAAGCCAGGCCCTCAGGAGCACGAGCCGGGCCTCCCCAGCAGGCAGAGAGCCCGGTGGGCGTCCACGCACATCTCGGGAGACCCCAGCATCAAAGCCAAGCCCAGGGAGCGCCCCCGGACCCGCTGCCGCCAGAGGAAATCCTGGGCTCCTGACGGGCATCTGCAGCTGGAACCTGCCAAATCAAGCTCCCCTGATGCAGAGAGCGGACTCGGCGGGCTGTGTCCGGCTCACCTGCATGGCCCCGGAGGGAGGCGCCCGTGCCTACCTGCGTGCCGTCCGCGTTGAGCGCCCCCTTCCTGCAGAGCAGCAAGGGCCCCACCAGGCCGGAGCTGGTGTCCTTGATGGGGTCGACCGCCGAGAAGTAGAGGTAGGTCAGGCATGGGGGGTCGTCGGCCGTGGGGCCCACGCTCTCGGGCACCGTCCACCTGTACACGAAGGTCTCCCCTGGCTTCACGTGTGCGCCCGGCTTCAGGAAGCCTGAGGGGGGAGGCAGTGCTTCGCACCGGGCAGGGCAGTGGCTATGTCTCGGCGCGGCCCCCCTATGCGCGCTCTGGGGCGGTGCTGCCGCACGGGACAGCACAGACCACCTCGCTGTCCTCACGCTCCCTGATGCCACGCGGCACACGTGTCGGGAGCCACGGCTGCCCAGTCGCCATCTGCAAGTCCCCGAGACGTCCGAGCGGCCTGTGGAGCTCGCGCCCGGCCCTGCAGAGGACACCCAGGAAGGCCAGACGGGCCACGCTCTGAGGTGTCCGGAATCTGAGAGGCGGAATGAGGACGTGGCCACTCCCTGGGTCACCAGGCTGTGCGTGGCTGCTGGAGGACTCACACTAGGGCTGTGCCAGGATGGTGCCCGAGCCCCGCGCGGCCTGGCAAGAGAACCCGGAGCCTCTCCAGCCCCACGGCCAGACGTGCTGGGGCCTGAGCACGCCTTACCTGCGGGCGCCCAAGCCTGCCCCGAGACACCCCGGGGCCAGGCCCTGTCCTGACCGCCTCCTCCCGCAGCCCGTGTCCCTGCCCGCACGTACGGGGGCGACAGGGAGTTCTCAGCCCTCGCCTGCCCACCCGGCACAGGCTGGACTCACCGTCCATGTTGGGGGCCGCATCGGACGCCTTGTCGTACATCACGCCGTGGGGCAGGACGCTGTAGGCCCTGTCCGCCCTGTTGGCGAAGGTCACCAGCAGGGTGTCGCCCACCTCCGCCCTGATGACGGGGCCTGGAGGGAGCGGGGGCGGGGTGAGGGGTGAGAAGGCGCAGCGTGGGGCTGGGGCCCCGCGGGCCGCCCCCCCGACGCGCGTGGGCCACTCTACCCAGAATTCCGAGGTGGGCGTCCGCCTCCGAGAGGCGCTTTCTTTGCGTGAACGACGCGTCCGTGTACTCCGTGTACCGGGCCTTCCAGTACCTCCCGCCTATCCTGGAGTCCCCTTGCGTGAAGTAGAGCTCGGAGTCGCTGAGGGGAGAGGGTCTGGCTGAGCGCACCCGCCCTGGTCCCGGCCCGCACCGCCCGCGCCCGGCCAGCCCAGCGGGCTCGGAGCTGGGTGACCTGAGCTCCCCACCCGGAGGGCCGGCAGACGCCTGCGCCCCCGGGAACGCCCCGGCCCACAAGGTCGCGGAGGGCAGAGCGCACCCCGCAGCGCCAGCCCCCGAGTGCGGCCAGTGGCGGGGCGGCCAGGCTGGGCGCGCAGTAGGCACTTTGACGCCGGCAAGGGCGCGGAGCGCGGGTCGGGTCCGTCTGTAGTGAGGGCAGGGACTGCGCATGAAATGCCAGGGCAGGGGACGGGACGGCCCGGCGGGCGCCACCTCGACACAGCGTCCCTCGGGCCCGGCCAGCGGCGGTCGGCTGCTCCTTCCTGTGTCGGCGCCTTTCCCTGACCTTTGAACCCCCCTTTCTGCGCCCTTTGGCCTCTGTTCTCCCTCCTCCCGCCGCCGGACACAGCGCAGGCCCTGCTGGCCTCGTGCCCCTGCGCCCCCACCACAAGAGCCGCTGGGGGCCCCACTGCAGCTCCTGGCCTGTCCAGAGCGCCCCGCTGCCCATGGCGCCGCTGCCCGCCCCCGAGCCCCAACTCAGCCCTGGCGAGCGCACTCACTGCAGGGTGGGCCTCTGCGCCCAACACCGGCGTCCGTCCACCAGTGCCCAGGGCGGACGGATGAGTGAGGGGTCTTGCGAGTCATCCCCAGCACCCTCAGGCCCTCAGGCCCAAGCAACCCGCAGGTAGCAGCGGGGAGGCTCCCGGCCCCACCCCTCCAACCCCGCCCCAGGCCCCCCTCCTGGCCCCCTTCCTGGGCCCCCTCTTGGCCCCCCTCCAGGCTGCACCCTCCAGGCCACCCCTCCAGGCCCCCCTCCAGGCCACCCCTCCAGGCCACCCCTCCGGACCACACCCCTCCAGGTCACGCCCTCCGGCCACGCCCCCATCCGGCCACGCCTCCGGTCTGAGGTTCTGCAGTCAGGTCCTGCGAGCCGCGGTCAGACCTGGGGCGCCACACACTGTGGGCCCCGAGGGGCAATGCGGACTCGGGGGTCCAGGGAGGCCTACCCCGAAGGTGACCTCAGAGCAGGACCGGGAAGGTCAGGGTCAGGGAGGAGGGGCCAGTCTGGAGAGAGGCCTCCCTCTGCACCAGACAATCCGTGGGCGCAGATAGGCGACCTCAGGGCCAGCTCACCCCGCCTTTCCTGGCAGGCCTGCCCGCCCCCTCCCCCGCTGGCCGCGGCCGGCTGGTCGCCATGGGACGATACCCCAGCACCCAGCACTGCCGCTTGCGCCCAGCAGCCGCTCAACAAAGTCCGGCGACAAGCGTGGCCCAGGCGGTGGGCGCGTCTCCCCCCTGCCCCGTCCCTGCCGGCTCTGCTCTCCCGCCACGTGCAGCTCAGGCCGGCAGGGCCCACAGCGGCCCCCGCAGGGAAGGCCCCGCGCACCAGGGAACAGCAGCTGAGCTCACCTGCCGGTCGCGTTGAGGGGGAGGCCACTGAACTTGTTGTAGCCCTGAGGGGCGTAGTCCCAGAGCACCTTCTCGGCCGCGATGAAGTAGTGCCTCTGCTGGCCCTTCAGGGCCGGGTGGGAAGCGTGGCCTCTGCAGTGGCCCACGTTGTACTGGCCCAGCATGCCCGCTGCGGACAGAGCAGGGCCTGGGTGAGCCCGCAGGAGGGGCAGGACCCCGAGCACGTGTGGCTCGGGCTGTGGTTGCCCGTGAGCAGTGAAAAGCAAAGGTAAACGGTGGCCTTCCCACACACGAGGCCAGCTCCCCTCCCAGGACGAAACAGGCAGGGCCTCCGGGAAGAGACCCGAGGGGCATCTGTCTTTCTGCCTCAAATTTGCCTCACTCTGAAAACGTCCAGCTCTGTGCAACTGCCGCATCACAGCCCCTGGAGACCCCTCATTTCTTCTCATCGCCTCTGTCTGTTTACAGGGAGGTGGTCGGTAAATAAATACCTGCTCACGGGCGCCAGGTGAGCGGCGCCACCCCGTCCCTGCGTGTTCACTGTAATTGCTGTAACGCACTCAAGACGCGGCCAGCGGTCGGCGCGGAGCGAGCCCGTCCCGGCAGCCGCCCTGCCCTCCGCCCGGACCCCAGCCCGCTCACCTTGCAGGTGGTCGCTGACCTGGCAGGTGATCATCCACTTCCCAGGGTTCTGGACGATCATCTCCGCCGTGAGGAAGGTGGCGGGGAACAGGTTGACCACGTCCGTGCGGTGCCCCCTGCTGACGAAGGTGTTGCCGTAGAAGTAGATGGAGTGGATGTCGATCTCGTTCCCCATCCCGAACAGGTGCCAGGACACCGACTCGCCGACGCACATCTGGGGCTCGGGGAAGTTTCCGAACAGGTAGCCGTTGAGGGCTGAAAGCAGACACACGCTGGCACAGGCGCCTGCGGGGTCCAGGCGCGCGTGCCCCGGCGCGGCAGGGCCAGGGTGGCGGGTCGCCACGGCCTGTGAAGAGGCCTCGGTCCTCACAGAGGAGACAGCCCAGAACGGGCGGTGGGGCTTGGTCTTTCCAAGAGAAAAGCCCCCGACGGAGCGGAGGCCGGCAGGGACGTGGGGCAGCGTGGGGACGCGGACACGGGCGGAAACGGAGCCGCTGGGCCGACACCCTGCAGGCCGCCCCGGGGACTGCCGTGGGGACCCGTCCACGCATCTCACGGCCACCAGGACCCAGCGGAAGACCTGACGTCAGCGACCGGTAGCGGGAGGGAGAAGAAAGGCCCCAGCAGAAGGGGAGTAGAGGGTGTGGTTTTGTTCTGACTTTTACGGAAGGGGACGGACTGTCCACCAGGCCCTGCTGGCTCAGACTTCCGGCTGGAGCTGCAGCGTCAGCCAAGACCCGAGGCCTCTGCCCCGTCTACACAGTGGTGTGACTTGGGCCAGTGCAGAAAAACGGGGTTTTAAAAAGTTATAATGTCCCTTCTCAATTTCAGACTGAGCGCGGAAGTGATTATGACTAAGATAAGAATGACTCAGGCGGCGCAACTGTTGGTGCCAATTTAGATGAAGCTCGGTTACGGGTGTTTCTCGAGCAGCTCCCGCAGACCAGTTGTCCTCAGGCCCTGGCTGCGTCGCTCCGCCAGCTGGGGCAGGCGTGGAGGCGCGAGAGGGCCGCTCTGAGCAGCCGGCGGCCCGGGGCACGCGGGGTGCTGGTGGGCGCACGCTGCCCCTTCCCACTCCAACCAGCAAGAGGAAGCAGGAGGCCAGCGCGGCCCCGACCGCCGCGCGAGGCGCTCCCGGGAGGGCGGAGGCCAACCCCTATCCGTCAGGGATAAACGTGAGCTGCTCACAGCGAGGAGCAGGGCTTGGGTCCGTACACGAGCCCGAAAGGAAACCCGTGCGCCACCCGCAGCGCAGCGCATCACAGCAGCCCAGGCGGGAAACAAGCCGCGTGCCCGCCAGACAGGGGGTCAGGGCCGGGCCTGTCTACGCAGGGGAGCGCTGCGCGCAGAGAACAGACGCGCGGCAGTCGCGCAGCCTGGGTGGCGCTGGCAGGGGTGGGGCTCGGAGGAACAAGACAATATCGGATGGTTTCACTCCCACGGGGAACACGGGGAAACCGAGCACGGGGCCGGGAGAAAGACAGAGCCTGCAGACCCACCCTGGGTCTGGGCGTCCCGCAGGGGAGGGGCGGGGGGGGCCACGACGGGGGAGGGGAGCAGGGCACGGTGGTGACGGTCACGGGGGCTGCGGTGGTGGTGGGAGAGCTACGGGGGCTACACTTGGGGCAACAACGATGTAAGAAAATAAACCTTAAAAAATTAGGTTTTATTTACGCTGCGCATCTCATCCCCCGCCCCCTCTCTCCTGAGCACGCGGTGCCGGAGCAGCACCCAGAGGAGATGCCCGGACACACGCAGAAATGGGGCCCTGGCGTCTGCGCCCCAACACTGGGCTATGCAGCAGGGGCGCCCCACCGCCCCCACTCATAGCGCCCCCTCCCCGCGCCAGCCGCTCTGGCTGGACAGCACTTTGGCCTGAGGCAGGACACAGACCGGCGGCGCCCCAGCTCCGTCCCACGTGACGGCGCCTGCCGGCTGGGGGCAGCCACAAGGTGAGGCCGGTCAGCGGAGGACTCGGGCCTCGTGTGTGGTGGACACGATGGGGATTTTCCTTCTGCTCACCGGCGCGCCCCAGGAAAACTCGGGCGCGACCCCCTGCGAGCCCCACCCCCTGGACCCCGCAGACCGGGCGGGAGCCGCTGTCTGGCGACACGAGGACTCGGAGAGTCACCGCTTCCCGCGGCAGCATCTGGCACGCTGCCCTGTGCTCACTTGTCTGGGAAACACGTCGCATCTGGCTGCGTGTGGAAGCTACACACAGGGGACGATCTTTTGGGCCACTCGAAAGTGGGGACCAGCTAAAGCTAGAAGTTGCCATCGGGGGCTCTGCCCAGCATGGTGCTGTGCCCTTCTCACCTGCGCATAACCCCCGGCCCGAGGCGGGCCTCCCGAGCGTCCCCGCCGCCACACGCACCCCGTTTCTGTGCCCGGCTTTGTCCCTGGGTCACGCCCAGCGCAGCTCAGGCTACTGTCCTTCCGCAGGCGACCCGCACGCTCCCCGGCGCTCGCCCATCACGAGCTGCGGCCCGCGGGCGGCCGGCCCGACACTCACCGTGCATCTTGTTGCTCCTCTGGAAGACGGGGTCCTCCTTGTCCACGGAGGCGGGGTCGGTGCAGAAGTGCCGGATGTTGTCGTCCAGGTACCAGCTCTGGTTCTCGTCCACCAGCGTGAACATGATCACGAACTCGCGGTCCACGTCGGTCCTGGTCCCCGAGTACTTGTTCAGGACACCTGCGGGCACATTCGCGAGAGAACAGCCAGCGGGTGGCAGAGGCCGGGCCCGATGGAGGCGCCGGCTGCCCTCACGGGTCAGGAGGCCCACGTGTGAGTGGCCACAACACGCAGGGGCCTTGGTGGGGGGCGCACCGGGGCCCCAGGGCAGACGGCCCTGGCTCCGGGAAGCTGGCTGTCCCCGGGGAAGCCGCCCGGCGGGCGTGGATATGCCGGCTCCGTCCCCCGGGGACACAGTGGCTGAGGTCACGTGGTCAGAGGCTGAGCGGAGCGTCCCGGCCACCGGACCACGCTTCTCACCTCCCCGGGGCTTGGGCGGAAGGGTCGGGCCCTGCGGTGGCGCAGAGGAAGCCACTCCCGCCACCGCCCTGGCTCGCTGGTCTGAGCAAGAGCCCTGTGCAGCTTTCTGGCCACAGCAGCACCCCAGACTTCCAGGGGAGACCCGCACACGTGACATCCAAGCACCACCGGCATCACTCGTCCCTTCTCCCACCGTGGAGTCCAGCTCCGGCCGCAGGTGCCAGAGCTGCAGCGCAGGGTCACGGCGGGACGCCACCGGGGTGCCCCCACACCCCTCACGCTGGGACCCGGGACCCGTTGTGACCCCACGTGCTCGTTTCTGAGACGCGGGAGGCGCCCAGAGTCCCGGAGGCCCAGCCCATCGCGGGCAGCGTCACCCCACAGACAGCCCAGTGGGTCCTTCAGCTCACGGCTGCTCTGTGACCCCGTGGGGCCCGCGGGCTCCCCCAGGCACTGGCCGGCGACCTCACCTTCCTTGCACACCAGCAGCGGCCCAATCAGCCCCGAGCAGATGTCCTTGGGGGCGTCGATGTGCGAGTGGTACACCCAGGTCAGGCAGTTGGCGTCCGCGGGGGCCGGCGCGTACTCCTCCCTCACCGGCCACACGTACGTGTAGTTTTTGCCGGGGGGGACCATGTCGTCATCCTTGTTCCTTCCAGACGTGCCGTCAGGGTACAGGGCTCCTTCCAAGGCAAGCAGAGGGAAGTCGAAACCCGGCCGGGCCGGGGCCGCTGCGCTCCAGGCTCCCTTCCCGGGGGCTGAGGCTCCAGGCTCCCTCCGCCATGAGCCGAGGGGGTGTCGGGGAGACGCCAGCAAGGTCAGGGCCAGAGTCCAGGCCCTGGGAGGGGGGTCAGGGCCTTCGTCAGACCGGGCGGGGCAGCCGGGGCGGTGGCCATCCCGCCCTCCTGCTCCAGGCCGCCGGGCTCGGCAGTGACCATGGGCTGCAGCCAGGGCCCGGAGCCAGCGGTGCGGCGGCGTCCGCCGGGGCCTCCTGGTGCGCAGGAGCACAGCAGGTGTACAGGACACGCTTCCGAGAAACGCGTGTGTCTCCGAAGTCTGAGACAGTTAAAATAACCCGCAGGGACCAGGGGAGTCTGTGCTGCCGCGTCAGAGAGGCGGAGGCTGGGCAGGCCCTGGGGGATGCTCCCTCCTGACGGCGCCCTCCAGCCCCTCCTGGCGGGGCTCTCCACGTCGCGGCGGTCACCCAGCTCTACCTGCGCCGCTGCCGAGGAGGGAGGCGCTAGTGTGCCGCCCCTCTGTACGGGCGAGACTGAGAGGGCGGCAGGGAGGAAGGAGAGGAGACAGGGAGCCGGCCAGGGGGGCGCCCCTGCCGCGGTCCCACCCCTGCACCGGGCCAGCGGCCACCAGCTGCACCCACCTTCCGAGTCCTTGTTGTAGAAGACGCCGTGCGGGTGCAGGGAGTAGGGCCGGGAAGCGAAGTTCTTCAAGTGGATGACAATCACGTCCCCCACCTCCGCCCTCAGGATGGGGCCCAGAAACCCGAGCCAGGGGGGCTTGGGGATCTCCGTGGAGTAGGTGGCATCGGTGTAGTGTCTGTACACCGCCTTTTTGTAGAGGCCGCCTATCCGGTTGGGCCCCCTTTCAAGAAATAAGGTCGCGAGTCTGAAAGTGAGAAGGAACACGCGTCACCCTTGCAGTCCCGAGAGAGACCCCGGCGCTCACCTCAGCAGCTCACCAAGCTCGTGCGGGTGTGACGCCCCCGCGGCCCCCCAAGCCCTGTAACCCTGCAGCGCAGCGGGAACCTCAGTCCACCCATGAGGACGCCCAGGCTGAGGGCGCAGGGGGCGGGCGCAGCCTCCAGCAGGAACCCAAACTGAACCAACGACCCCCGGCCAGGACAGACGCACCCCACTTTTGCAACTGACGCATGTAGTATGCGCGTGCTGCATGCAGGGCTCTAGGCGCGGCGGAGAGACACGATTCATGTCCCAATAATGGTAGAACCGAGTGCAACGAGCAGTGGGCGCCAGGGTGCCAGGAGAGCAGCTGACGCCCCGCCCAGCCTCCAGGGGCCACGGCTCAGGGAACCCCGTGGCCGGCACCCCACGCAAAACACATGAGTGAAGGCAACTAGGGCTGGAGCAAGGTGGGAATGCGGCCGCCCAGAGCCAGCAGGAGCAGGAGGAGGCATGTTGGGGGGTGCCCAGGTCAGGAGGGGGAGCCCCGCCAGGAGGCAGGCAGGGAGGGCGCAGGCTGGGGAGGCAGGCGTGAGCGCCACCGGGGAAGGCGGGCGAGGAGCCGGGCAGCGCGACCTCGCAGGCTGGCACACGGGGCTTTCACGCACTGGGGACACGGCGGCGGCGGAGGTGAGGGCAGAGCCAGGGGCGTGTGTGGGGAGCGGGCACAGCCAGGAAGCGCGGGTGCGCGTGAGGACAGGAGTCCTGACACCGCTTGACCGGGGCCCCCAGCCGCCTGGGGCGTGGGAGGGCAGGACAGCAGCGCTGGGGGAGGGACAGCTGGGCAGGGTGGGTGCGCGGGGGGCCCGGAGATCTGGGGCTCGTGCTTTCGGCGCCGACCCAGACGGGCAGAGACGGCGAGCCTGGCGGGAAGACCCTGGCCGCGCCGCCCTGCTCGCCCGGCCCCCGCGATTCCAGGGCCGCGGCCGCGTTTCCTGCGAGGGTGTCCGGCCAGCGGGAGCAGCCGCGAGGAGCTGCGAGGACACGGGCACCGAGAGGGGCAGCGCCCGGCGACCCCCGCGGAGGAGCCGGCTTCCCACGGCCTCGCTCCCCTGCCTGCCCCCGTGCAGCCGAGCACCCCAGACCGCACAGGAGCAGCTCCCACGCAGCCCGCCCCGCCAGGCAAGTTATTGCAACAATTTTGCAAAGTCTGCGGGATGCAAGTGGAGGGAGGAGGAAGCGGAGCAGGCAGGGGGAGCTGCGCCCCCCACGCTGGCCGTGCAGCCCAAGCAGGCGGGTGCGGGCTCCGAGGGCGCGCAGGCCCTGGTGTCTGCTCGGGGCGCCTGACGCGGCGCTGGAGGGGGCAGTCACAGCCGCCGGGGAGGACGGGTACCTGAGCACACGCTCTGCCCTGGGCACCCTTGCACGCGTGCGCACAAGGACACACACGCGTGCACACAGGGCACACGCACGCACGCGTCCGCACGCAATCTGGGCAGCAGCTCCTCGCCAGGAGCAGCCCGCAGAGGTGGCACGGGGCGAGGGAGGCGCTCCCCCACAGGCTGCCTGCCGTGGCCCTGACGACACGCCTGGATGTGGGTCAGCCCGGCCTCCCACGCTGCAGTCACCGGAGGCACGAGGCTTCCTGGAGCCCGGCTCGCTGCCTGCCCACGAGCCACGGCGTGGGCGTCGTCAGGGCCCTGCCCAGCGCCAAGCTCCGCTCCGCTCCCCTGGAGCAGACAAGGGCAGCGCACGGCCTGGGCATGCTCTCCGGGCTCCGCGTCCTGTGCTCCAGCCGGGGGCCAGCGCCCCCCAGGCCACCGCGAGGCCCCAGCCGCCGGCTCCACATTCCCCCAGCGTGCGCGCGCGGGAACCGCCAGGCACCAGCGCCGCGGGAGCCCCGGGCCACAGCAGCCACCGGGAGAGCGGGGGCCGGGCGCGCTCGAGTACGAGCAGCTGCCTCTTTGGTGTCTGCCGGGCGGCCACCCCGGCTCCTGACCCTTTCTGGCAGCCGGAGAGGCGCCCGCCCCCCCCGCTGCGGGTCTTAGCCGGGAAACAGAGCGAGGGTGCCCCGGGGCGCCGAGCAGCAGCCCCAGCGGCCTGGACGCTCCCCGCGGCCTCTGTGGGCGGCCATGGCCCAGCGCGCACCCACGGCCTCCAGCCACCCCAGCCACGTGCTAGCGCCGCCCGAGCCAGGAGGTGTCTGTTTCCTGGGGAGGTGCCAGCGGGCTGGGGAGTCCCCCTCACCTGCTTAAAAGACAAAACGGGGGTGCAGGAGGCCGTGATGCCAAGGCCGGGTGGCCATGGGAGGGGACAACTTCGAGGTCCGGCCTTTTGAGCCCCGCCATGGAGCCGAGGGGGCCCGAGGGCTCACGCGGAGTGCACCTCACCACCCCCACCCTGGAGCGCGAAGGGTCCCCTCACCCCCTACCCCGGAGGACCAGGCTGTGGAGCCGGGGAGGGCGCGGGGCGGGGCTCAGCCGGGGAGACGAGGCGCGCGCCGGGCCGGCCAGCAGCACTGTCCACGCGGGGCCCACCCTCCGCCTGGGGAGCGCGCAGGGGAGGCAGCGCGCAGGGCAGTGGCAGGACGGGCCCTGCACCAGGAGGGCGCAGGACGGACGGGCACCGCTGGCACCGCTGGCACGCTGGCAGGGAGGGCGGGGACGCGCGTGGATGTCTCGCCCGGCGCCGCCACGCCCTCCCTAATTGAATTAATGGTTTTTAAAGCCGGCCATGCAGGCCCTGCCCCGGCCAGCGCCTGCCCGGCTCCCCCTTCACCGCCCAGGCTCGGGCAGGTCAGCTGGGGCGCGGGGAGGAGCCAGGACCCGCCCCTCTCCCCGGTCAGGACGCCCCCAGACCCTCGGGGCGGGGCGCCAGGTCCCCGCTCCTGCTGTCCAGCTGGGCAGGGGCCCTGGACTCCAGGGCTGGGGTGCTCCGTTCTGCAAAGCTCTGAGTGGAAGGAGGAACCCCCACCCCAGTGGGCCTTCCCAGAGGCCAGAGACCCCGAGTCGGGCCTCCACACCCACATGGGGTCACAGACCTGGGCCTCCAGGCCCCTAACTGGAGACAGGGTCCCTACAGGCAAGAAGAGGGGAAGGCCTCTGAGACCAGGAGAATTTCTGGGGTGGCCTGGGGGGACGGGGAGGGGCCCACAAGCCACGAAAGTGTCCTTCAAAGGGAGAAGCCGTGGGAAGGTGGAGACAGGTGGGGCCACAGCCCAGCGGCCAGGGAGGCGCAGGGCACGTGTGGCCTGTGGAGCTGAGAACCTGGCGCTGACGTCTGAGAACCCCGAGTTGTGACCGTCAGTCACAGCAGCGCCGGACCCTCACGCGGCCTGAAGCCGGCCGTTCTCCCCACTGCCAAGGCAGGGGCAGGAGCTCTGGGCTTGCCTGGGACACCAGAGACCCACGCCGCCGCGAGCCAGGCCTCCGTCCCCCCAGCCCCGGCCCCCGGCCCCGGCCCCCGCCTGCTGGTGCCCTCCGTGCCTGCCGCGCGGTGAGGCCCGAGACAGCGGCCCAGTACGTCGTGCCCGAGTCTCCCCAGCCCACATCCAGGCCTGTCTCTGCAGGTGGGCGGGAGAGGGGGCTCCCCCGAGAGAGCCCCAAACCTCAGCTTCCTCCGCGGGCAGAGCTGTGGCCTGTTACACTCTCGCCAAGCGGAGGCACCACCGGCTGCCGCGGATTCCCGGGACCAGGCTCTGCCCGCCGGCCCGCCTCGCCGCCCTCACAGGCCTGCCCGCCTCACCTGGCCGCCCAGGCTCCTCACGCTCCCCAGCCCTGGCGCCACCCTCTGTCCTCCTGGGTTTGGCGGGCTCCCCTGGCCGCGACCACAGGGGCCCTGACTCGCTTCACTGTCACCGGCCCGAGCTCGGTGCCGGGCGCCAGAGCCGGGAGGGCAGCGGAGCCACCTGGCCTCCCCGCCCTGGCGGCACAGCAGGGCCGGGGAGCCGGGCGCGCTGGGCTCAGGGTGTCCGTGGAGAGCTCTGGGCCTCGGGGAGGGCCCGGCCAGAGTTCTCAGAGGCAGGGAAGTGGACAGAGGCAAACGCAGGCTCTTTCAAGAACTGCCCTCGGACCCCTTCCCAGCCCGGCCTCCTCCAGCCCTGCTCTGCACACGCACACCCCTCGCTCCTTCCGCAGGAAGAGGTCGAGACGCAGCCGTCAGGTGCCGCCCTCTCTCCGTCTGGGGGCTCGCTCCTGCGGCTGGGGGGTGCCTGCCACACGCTGGGGCGCCGGCGCGGGAGCACGGTGCGCGCGCTCGAGCCCGACGGTCCCCAGACCGCGGCCACAGTCCAAGATGCTGCCTCGCCAGGAACGTGTGAGCACGTGGGGAGTTGCACCCACGCTCCCCAGTATCCCTCGGTACCCC